CTGTATAAGAGACCAAGTATCTAAACCACTTGGTCCGGTCCTGTAAATTTATTTAATATAATTATAATTAATTTATTAATTATTGTTATAATAAGTTAATTTATAATAATAATTAGTATTTTTTGTGTTTTATACTTATAAATTCATGAATATTAAACAAAATTTCAGCATCGACCAACCTTAATTTTCTCCTTTTATTGATGAAATTTGTTATTAACTTAATATAATGAACTCTAAATATGTTGAAAATTGTTCAATATTATTGAAAGTTGTTTAATTTGAATTATCTGTATTATAATTGAAATACTTTTTGTTGTTATTGAAAATTATTGTGAATTTATAATTATTGTTATTTTGATGAATCTTATATGACTATAAGTAATTTTATTATTTTAATTGAGTTTAATAAGTTAAAATAAATTACTATCTCTCATAAATTAAAAAAGAAAAAAACTAAGTGAGATGTTAAATAAAACCAAGACCAGTCTTCTAATCTTATTAGACCAATCCGATCTTGTTTACCTTTAAGTTATGCTAGGATCAAATTAGATTATGAGTTACTTAATTTAATTATTTTTATGAAAAGAATGAAATTTCAGATTAAATTAAAGTTATGTCGGATTAATTCTTTGTGTAGGCCTGATGTAAAGGCTCATGTTTTTTTTTTTTTGCTTTGGCCCCAAAAATAAAATAATAATAATAATCTCGTCACTTCTTAACCACTTCTTTATACGGAGGAAGGCTCAACACGTACCCAAATACACACTCCTCCTTTTTCATCACATACTCACCACGATTGGTATTGATGAATTTGGATTGAGCCCCCATGGCTTCAACTAGGTCTCCCTTTCTGGGCTCAACACCTTTCCATTTCTGGAACCAATCTGCAATCCGAACCCCTAGAAGCAGACCCTTTGTTAGGGTCTCTGTCATCAAATCTGAATCCAATGTGCGCAAGCAAGACATCGTCATCGTCGGCGGCGGCATCGCTGGCCTCGCCACCGCCCTCTCCCTTCACAGGTACAATTTCATTTTTGGACAGAACTAGATGCATTGAATTGAACCTCCCTTTCTCATGTTGATGTATTATTGAATGCTCAGGCTCGGAGTTCCTTCAGTGGTGCTTGAGCAAGCAGAGTCATTGAGAACCAGTGGAACTTCCCTCACTCTTTTCAAGAACGGATGGAGAGTACTTGATGCCATTGGAGTAGCCAACGATCTCAGACCTCAATTCTTAGAAATCCAAGGGTACATTAATTTATCTTCATGCATTGATGTATTTGTTTTTTCCCGTATAATTAGTTACGGATTAATTCAGATTTATTTCAGCTGAACTTGTTCATAATATCAGCTATGCAGGATGGTGGTGAAGTCGGAGGATGGTAGGGAGCTCCGCGCCTTCAATTTCAAGCAAGAAGATCAAAGGTACTATTACGTGGGATTTTATTCCTCCCCTTATATCTCAATTTCACGGTGAATCGTCATGTTGAGTAAGATTACTGAAGAACAAAATAATTACTGCTAAATGTTTGATCTAAATGTGCAGCCAAGAGGTACGTGCAGTGGAGAGACGAGTACTACTGGAGACCTTGAGCGAGAAGCTTCCAAAAGACGCGCTTCAATTCTCCTCGAAGCTATCGAACATTGAATCCACTCCAGACGGTGATTCCTTGTTGCATCTTGTCGATGGCTCAGAGCTCCTCGCAAAGGTCTTTCTAATCGTTTTCCTTCACTTACTCTCCGTCCTTCGTCGATTTTCTATCTTCTGTAACTTCGATTTTCTCTTGAATCAAACAGGTAGTAATAGGGTGCGACGGGATTCGATCCCCAATCGCTAAATGGATGGGCTTCTCCGAGCCCAAATACTCGGGTCACTGTGCATTTCGTGGGCTTGGGTTTTACCCAAAAGGCCAGCCCTTCGGCCCAAATGTCAATTACATTTACGGCAGAGGACTTCGTGCTGGATACGTCCCTGTTTCTCCCACCAAAGTTTACTGGTTCATCTGCTTCAATTCTCAGTCTCCAGGTCCTAGCTCAAAACTTTAACTTGAAACCGTTCATACACTAAACAAACTGGTTGGTTCTTATGAATAATAATATATGCAAATCAGGCCCAAGAATCACTGATCCATCAGTGCTGAAGAAGGAAGCGAAACAACTAGTGGCAAAGTGGCCTTCAGAGCTTACGAACATAATAGAGTACAGCCCAGATGAGACGGTGAGTAGGACCCCACTGGTAGACAGGTGGCTATGGCCGGGACTGAGTCCGGCTGCTTCCGCCGGCAGAGTGGTGGTGGTCGGAGATGCGTGGCACCCCATGACTCCGAACCTTGGTCAGGGTGGTTGTTGTGCGCTTGAGGATTCAGTGGTTCTTGCTACCAAGCTCGCAAGAGCGATCAATTCTCGTGATGATGCTGAAATCGAAGCAGCTTTTAGGTCTTATGGGAGTGAGAGATGGCCACGTGTGTTTCCCTTAACGATACGTGCAAACCTCGTTGGGTCTATTTTGCAGTGGGATAACCCGGTGGTGTGTTCTGTTCGGAATAATGTTGTCTTGCCTAAGCTTGTCAGGCTTGGCCCATTGCTGGAACATACAAATTTTAGTTGTGAACCCCTGTGAGCATACATATATTTTGTGATTGTTATGTGTGGTTAGTTGCTTCTGAATCTGGAAACACTGGAAGCACCTGTAAAGTCGTACGTTTACCAGATCAGATCATTGTATATTTGCATTGTATGATCAGAATTTCGACCCAATATATGCTTTAGTAGAAGTGGCGGCGTGCACGTCTCTCATTACAAGAAGAAGAAGCAACGTATAAACAGAGCATACTCCATCTTCTTCGTTTATATAATTCATCAATTCATTAATGAAGGAAATCACACCCTGCCTCTGAATGTGCCAACCCAGACAATACGGATTGTATTCAACCATGTTATTACATGAGTGTAAAAGAATTCAACCCATTGGTGGGTTAAATGGCTCAACCCACCAATCAATTTAATTATTTTCTTGTATGAATTTAAAAAAATTACATTTAAATGATAAGTTTTAATATAATATTTCTCACTGTTGGAAAAAATTCACATCTTAAATATATAAGATTAATCAATTCAATTGTGATTCATTCCGGATATGCTTGTTTTGTGAACTTATGATACTAAAACTCGTTCCATTTTTTATTAGTTAGTTTTTTGTTTAAAAAAAAGGAATACAAATTAAATGGGTCAACTCTCACCCGTTAGGATTAGTCCATTTGATTCATGTCACTTGGTCTTCATTCAAAAAGATTGATTTTTATTTGGGCCAATTTTTTAATCCTAACTTGACTTTGATGCAAGTTATTCAAGTTAACCCATATCAATCTGATGTATATTTCTAGCTCTAATCTCTCTGTTTTTCTTTTCTTTGCCCCCCCCATATTATCTTGCCTGGATTACAATCAACAGAACGACATATAAAGTTTCAAAATCCTCTTATCGTGAGAATGCTGAATGCATGCTTATATTTCGTACTAATCACAAAAGATAAGCACATTGATAATGATAAGCGAAGATGTTTTTTTTTTTTTGTTTTTTTGGGGCAAGAGGATATTGCTCATTAACTTCTTATTAGTAAAATCGGTTTATTTAAATCGTCAACCCAGTCGGGTAAGGAACCTCTATTTTTTTGGTTTCATTTTTATTAAAAATCGACTTTATGTTTATCAGTTATAGATAGAAGCCTTTGGAATTGAAGGAAGCCTAGTTAGCACCCCCGTCGAAAGATAACCGTCTAAATTTTATTTTTTTTATTTTTCATTTCACATTTATTAAATAAAAATTATATAAATTATAAAAAAATTTAGTAAATCTGTGTGCCAATCTGGATAATTTAAAGTTAACATGAATGATCAACATTTAATATTAAAAATTTATAAAAATTATAAAAAAAATTAATATTAAATCTTCACTTCACCCAAAGAGCATTGGGTTTAGTGATTAGGCCCAACACAATTTCATGATGAAGGCTCTATTTTGTTTGTGCAAATCTTTAACACTCAAGCTGGCGTTTGCTTTTTCTTCTTGAACAATATCCCATCCAATATTCATTTAATTTTATTTATAAATTATTTTTAATATATTTTATTAATATCAAAAAAATTTTAAAAACTCATTAATTTTATCTTAAAATTTAATAAGTTTTTAATTTTGTCCCTATTAAATATATACATTTCAATAATATATTTTCTCTCTCTAATATTAAATAGAGGGTAGAAAAGAAAATTTATGATAAAAATTTAATGATGTAATTCATAAATAGAATAAAAAATATTTTTCTCTGCTTTATAAATATAAACCAGAAGAAATAAGATATAATTTTTTTTTTTATCAATTTTCTGACTCCAAAGAAAGCTATGACTGATTTTCTCGGTGTCACGAAGTAAACCCTTTAGGAGGATAGTGGTTGGCATGAGATAGGAGGGCAAAGCAAAAGGCACTGCTTTGATCAGAATCGTAGCACATTCTAAAACGGTGGAAAATGGACATTTTAAAAAAATGAAAAATGAAAATAGTGGCAGAATAGAATACCATAAAAAAAAAAACAGATGAAATGGAAATGAATTACTGTTTAATTGAATAAACTTGATGATATTAAATACTGCATAATTAATCAATCAATTATATATATGTATCACAATAAAGAATACATCACGTTGTGTTTGTTTATTTAATAATTAAATTAAAAAATAAAAAAAACGAGAATTATGTTGAAGTTGTATAAAAAATTAATTAATATAAAATTCATTAACAACTGGAGTCTAATTATTAATACACCTTGTAATAATTTTTTCTGTTTCTGTTGACTTGGCATAATTCTCCCTGCAACCAACGTTATGTATCCCCCTGCAGGTCGGAGACGTATCCCAATTGATATGTGGGAACACGTGGCAAGACGAAGCAGTAGTTGACACGTCATCACACTCCGACCCTTGAATCGTACTCAGCTCCAACATGTAAGGCTCATTTCATAGCGCATTCCCTTGTGTCATTTTCTGCGTTCGCTCTGTATCCTCCGGCGATCATCGCAGAGTTCGGTTAAATTTCTCGCCGGTTACTTCTCTGTACTCTCTCCAAATTCACATCGCTTTTAAACCTTGCTCCGCCATGAATCCTGAATAGTAAGTCCTCAATTTTGAGTCCACAATTCTGAAATTTCCATTTGGTCCTCAATCATCCCCCCCCCCCTTTTTTTCTTCCTTTTATCAAGCTCTGTCAGATCCGTGTTGTTTTCTTAATTTTCCCCTTTTCTTTGATGCGTGGCTTATTATATTTGTTTTGGACTGGGCGTGGCTTCTGCTTCTGAAATGCTCTTGCTGACTTAGATCTGATGTTCAAAAGATAGATCTGTTAGCACATCTGAATTGCTTTTTGGGAAAATTTATATACATATTTCTATTATCCGGTTTATACATTTTTTCTGCAATAGGTCTTTTTACGTTTGGGAATTTCGTATTGTAGGATGTCCTGTTTGATTCAAAAGTTGTTTGTACATAAGGGCGACATAACTGCATAGCTAATCACCAGAAAAAGAAAAGAAAGAAAGGAAAGGAAAGGAAAAGAAAAACAATAAACTGCATGGCTTGGGTCGGTTTGGCTGTAGTTAGAGATTTGAACTTGTCCATTATTCTGATTGATGTTTGTAAATTTTGTAAAATTCATCTAGCAAGAACACGAGCGATGTTGGCAAAAAACACACACACACATGCACAAAATAGTCTGAGTATCCATATGGTAAAAGTTGTTTGCGGCCTTATCCTTGTGTTTCACATTCATTGACAATGATTGGTGATATTGTATTTTAACTTGAAATCGTTCTTGTCCGATTCATCTGCAATATCTTCTGCTCTCCACTGATGCAAGGAAGACGATTCAGTGATTGTTGAAGTTCATCCAACTAACGACATTTGGTCCTCCTTAAAATAATCAATCTAAAATTTAAAGTCATTTTTAGCAACAGTATTTCTAACAACCGAAGCCTGAAGACAACAACCGGTCATTTCTGTTTAAAGCCTTAAGTCTCAACTGCAATCTTCTATGGACTATGATGTTATGAACACAGCGGACTTAGTGCTATCTTTTTAGGCAGTCAAATTTCGTTCTCTTCTACGACGTGTATGTGCTTCTTTGTGTTGCCGTGCTGCTGTACGTTTGTCTAGCAAAAGAACATGATTCCTTTAATGTCTTCTCTCTTTGAATGGGAAATCACTATTTTTCACTGCAGCGACTACTTGTTCAAGCTTTTGCTTATTGGAGATTCGGGTGTGGGAAAATCATGTCTCCTTCTGAGGTTTGCTGTAAGTTTTTGCTTATCCTTTCTCTACCTCATTCTATGAGTATGATTTTCTCTATAAATATATATCAAGTATGAAATTAATCGAACTGCCTACTTATATTATTAAGGTTGAACTTTGCTAAAAAATTAAAGAATGGAGGATTTGCAAATGGCGAAAATGATTGCCATAATATAATTTGTCTGGAATTCTGGAGTCATCATTCTAAGTGCTAAAAGCTGTGGTAGCCCAAACATATTGGTGTAGGTTTCCATCATAATCTAATTTTTACACACTCTTTTTGATAATAATACCTCTAGATTTTTATTTTTACTTTATTATATTGATGACACACTGCTGTGGAGAATTGAAAGATACATACTTGCTAATATTTTAATTTGTTTTGACCAGGATGATTCATACCTTGACAGCTATATCAGTACTATTGGTGTTGATTTTGTAAGCTTTTATATTTACCGTGAGGCTTCAGTTTCATGTTATCAAATTCGAAAATATTGTGACAAATTATCTGCTGTGTTATCTTCTGTAGAAAATTCGTACTGTTGAGCAAGATGGGAAGACTATTAAACTTCAAATTGTAAGTGCTTGCCAAAGTTAATATTTTTGGGTGCTTAAACAAAGGATTTTAAGACTAAATTTAGTCATTTTTGGTTTTGATGAGAATCCGTGTAATGTTACTCTCACATCTTTCTGCTTTAAGAAGAATCTAATTATTATTTATTGACTTGGAATGGCCAGTTACTTTTATGAAACTCATTTTGGAAGCAACTCTGATGTTTAGCAATGCAATAATTATCCCGTTTTCAATTACTTCTAATTTCTGATCTATTTTGTCACTCGTTGATCAAATCATCACGAGTTTTATCTGTTTGCCAATTGTTAAACCAATCTTATGGAAACGTTGGGGAAAAAGGACAGGAAAAACCCTTTTTTTTTTTTTTTTAGAGGGAGGCTTGGCTTTAGTTTTCCTTTAGCCAGGTCAGGGACCCTAAAAGGACATTTTTTTATTTATTTAAAAAGGAAATCCATCCCAAAGACAAGTGATTGTTGTTGTACTCTGCACTATTCGTAATTATTGAGAGACTTTTCTGCATTCTCTGGTTACATAGTGGGATACTGCTGGTCAAGAACGTTTCCGTACAATCACAAGCAGCTACTATCGAGGGGCTCATGGCATTATTGTGAGTCTTCAGATCTACTTCTTCACTAGAAATTTTCGTTCTTCATTTTGGGTGACTGGTGATTCTCCTTTTGTTTTGGCAGGTTGTTTATGATGTCACTGACCAAGAGAGCTTCAACAATGTTAAACAGTGGCTGAATGAAATTGACCGTTATGCCAGCGAAAATGTTAACAAGCTTCTAGTTGGAAATAAGTGTGACCTCACAGCAAACAAAGTCGTGTCCTATGAGACTGCAAAGGTGATTGTAGTTTCCGTTGGTTTACTCCAGATAGAAAACAATGGACGATCTGTTTAAATCCTCCATTACTATTGTCTGATGTTTGAGCTTGCTATTTTTTTTTTCCCAGGCATTTGCAGATGAAATTGGGATCCCCTTCATGGAAACTAGTGCTAAAAATTCCACCAATGTGGAACAGGCTTTCATGGCCATGGCTGCTGAAATAAAAAACAGGTGATTTTAACATGCTTTCTGGTCGTCATTAAGGGCCTGTTTGCTTGTTGGAAAGGAATTAAAAAAATGAAGATAAAAATGTGATGATCAAGATGTGGAGTGGAGATAAGTCAACCATGTCAATGAAGAGAGAAGGGTAATTTAGTTCATGAGATTAGAAGTCATAATTCCTTAGGTTTGCGGTGGGTTATGGGTGTAGTGATTTCTACATTTGGAGTATGTGGTATTGTTTCTTTTTTTCATGTTTACTGCAAGAGATTGAATAATTTAGTTCATTTTGTTTTTTTTTTTTTTTGAATCATTCCATTCTTATTATTTTCAGCAGCCAAATGACTCTTAAGTTTGTGGTTTTCCAGATGTTTATTTCCCAGTAGGAGTTATAAATACTCTTTTTTTTGGGTTTGGTGGTGGTTTTCTTTTTGCACAGAATGGCGAGCCAACCAACGAACAATGCCAGGCCACCAACAGTGCAGATTAGGGGACAGCCTGTGAATCAGAAAAGTGGTTGCTGCTCCAACTAGAGAGAGGAAGTATTGGTGATCTGAAGTGAAGGGTTTATAAGTGCCTCCGTGGCATGTAAAATTAGTTCTTTTCACATAATGCTTTCATCATCATATCAAGAATTTGTTCATCGAGATTTGCTTCTTGCTAAAAACTTCCATTCTTTTCAATGTATTTGATTTCAAAATACATTTGTACAGAACTAGGAACATTGGTAAGCTGCAGTATTTACCTTATTCCTTGCCCCATTCTCTACATATCTGTAGCAGCACCTGATTTTTTAACATCTGATAGTCTTCAGTCGTCCGGATTAAAATGCAGTACTTTTTTGTTAATAACATTCACCGAGTTTCAGTGTGATAAATGACAATGTTGATTTTCATAGCATGATTGCTAGTCACTTATCACTAATTGCCCTAAATATGGAGCGATGCAAAATTGCAAACTAATAGAGGTGTTTACTTGTGTTGACTGTTGTTTAACGCTATCTCCTTTTTATCGGAAAATAAAGGCAAACTAATTCTTTATTTAATACTCTAATTCAAGATTGTTACTGTTAATAAAAATAATATATTAATTTCCTAAACATAAAGTTGTATTGCGTAGACCTCTTCTACTTGGAATAGTTATCCATTTTGCTTAATTGACCGCAAAGTAAAATGATCATCCTTTTTATGTTTTTAATCGAAATGACTTTCTTTACTTGAATTGTACTTCTTCCAATCCTAATCACAAGGTAAAGTTTTATGACCCTATTGGGTCTTAAATATAAATAAAAAAACATAGTAGTTACTTATTTTTAATTTATTTATAAGTCAATTTTAACATTTTATTTAAACTAATTTCATTAACTTTATTTAAAAATTTAACAAATTTTTAACCATAGTCCTATTTAGTATACATACTTTGAAAATATATTGCTTTAGCATTTAATAGCTGGGACAAAAAGATAAAAATAAATAGAATAATAATTTTGATGCTCTATGAATAAGATCAAAATAAATATTCTCTCTATGTTTTATAAATAGGACAAAAGATTATATATTTTTTTAATATTGCCCCTCATTGATTGCATCTAGTTGCAATTCCTAGACACACTTTATTTAAAAAAAAACAAATATTTGTTTTAAGTTTAAGTATATTAACTATTATTTTATGATCTGGCAAAAAAAAAAAATCATTTCTTAAGAACTTTGAAATTTGTTAACTTTGCCATGAGGATTGCAGAGAGTATTTTTAATTATTAATTAAATATTTTTTAATTTGATATTTCTTAGACACATTTAAATTCTTATGTTCAGAAAATATAAATTAATATGGAGTAAACATAACTAGCCAACGATATAAAATATAGTAAGTGTGATTAATTATTAGGTGCTTAGATCAACTGATTAAGGGATTGATCAAACTTAACTAAAGATTTTGAATTTGAACATTTGATATGTAGCAACGATTACATTTTCAATGAGAAGTATGCCTCCTAAGTAGTTGTCTGCTAGCTGCTAACTAGATTAATCTAGGTCAAAAATGTAAAATATTGGAGCAAAAGGGGAAAAAAATAGAAATAGTGAATTTAATTAGTTGCATTATTTATAAATCATGAGCAATGAATATTCACTTCACTCTAACTTCATGTAACTAAAATTGTAGGCAAGAAAATGTTGTTTTTCTTAAATTGAAAAGCATGCTTTAGCTTTGTTAAGCTTCTAAAACTTTAACTTACCTAACTTTTTTTTCATTTATGCAGAAAAAAGAGCTAAATTCTGATAAATGAATCACTTTCAACTCCATTTCTGGTATTTCTGGCAAAAGAAAAAAGGAGGAGGATTTCAACTGAGAATAAGAGATGCGACTTAATTATTAAAAAAGTTTAAAATTTTAATTTAGTCTAGGAGGATTAAAATAAAAATAATTTTAATAGTAAAAAGATTAAACTATATTTCACTTGTTAATTTTGTCTAAAATGTAAAATTATTAGTTGTTAATTTTATTATTTCACTTGTTAGTTTATCAAGATGAGTACTAAATTATATGACTTGACCTATCAATAATCATGAAAGACTTGAGTATCAGTAATTCAATCACAAATAGTAACATCAATTATTAATTCACTAATACCCATTGTAAATTATTGATAAGTTTTATAATTTACAACTAATGTCAATAAATTAACAAGTAAATTTAACAAATTAATAACTAATGTTACTATTTGTTTGACAAATTAATGTAATTTATAATTTATATTAATAAATTAATAAGTGAAGTAAGAAAATCAACTATTAATGATTCTGCATCTTGAATAAAATTAACAAGTGAATGATAATTTAATCTTTTTACTATTAAAATTATTTTCAATTTAGTTCTCGTGAGCTGAACTAAAATTTTAGATTTTTTTAAACTCATTAATAATTAAATTACATCCTTAATTCTTAGTTGAAAGTCTTAAAAAAAAATTTCGCTAGTACCATGTACTGAAAAATAGGAAAAATATGCAAGTGGGCGATTTGTTTAGAAATGAATCCATTAAAAAAAAATATATTTAATAGGCAATAGTACCTCCTGCCCTCCCACATCACATTTCTTATTAGCAGCTTCAATGATGAATTAATGACCAGTGTTGCTGGTCCATCATCTGGTTCCACGTAAGTCCACTTGATTCATGCAATCGTCAGTAATTAGATCAACAGTAAAAATTAGGCATTTTTTCTTCAAAGGAACGATTCAGATCTTAAAGACGCTGAGCTAAGGAAATTAAAAAATAATTATTATTTCTTATCCAACTTCAAAGAAGTCTGGCGTTGATATTCAACCAAATTAGAAAAGCCTCCATAGTCCAATCCTTTATGTGCAGTAAGAATATTAGGATCTGAAAGAAAATATTCTTTCTTTGTTTTTACCCTCTCCATACTAATTTATAAAATATTTTTAAGAGAGATTTAATATCTTAAAATATAAGATATTTTGACAAAAATAAAATTTATTAATGATATTTTTTGAATATTACTCTTTCCATATATTCTTCATATTTAATATTCTTTCATAAATTACTATTAAATAAAGAGCATTTTAAAAGTTTATATTTTTTAAAAAAGTAAAGTTATAAAGTGCATTGAATAAGCTTTATTGATATGTGTAATTTTATATAAAAATATCCCATTCATTTCAAATTATAGAACACTTTTAAAGGAGTTTTTCAGTTTCAAAATATAAAATACTTTGAATAGATTAAGGTTTTATTAAATGTACTAATTTCAATATTACCTTTCTCTCTTTATAATTTATTTCCATCACTTCTCTTTTTAATATATTAAATAGTAGCTATTTTGAAAAGTTTATACTTTTTGTTTTGTAAAGATAAAGTTGTTAAGTATATTTAATAAATTTATTAATATGTGAGATTTTATTTAAAAATATTTTATAATTTGAGATAGAAAAAATATTTTATAAATTGAGATGAAAGAAATGCAATTTAAGTGAATTAGATCTTTAAGTCTTACCAAAAGAAAGATATGTTTTTCAGGCTTAAAATAAAAAAGATATGTTTCCAGGTTCAAAATATATTTATTTTATAGATTAAATCTTTATCAACATAAGATACTTGGTTGAAAAAGTAGTTATTTGGGTGGGAAAAAAAGGAATAATTAGTTGAAAAATAATAAATGCAAAAAGCAAGAGCCGTAGGAACAAAGGCATCGGATAAGAATGTTAACATGGAAACTGAGTCAGTCTCAACTTCGACTTGAAATATTGGGCGTTGTGCACTTTCAACGTCACGCGCCTCAAGTGGTTGAAATTAAAAGTTGGCAGTTGGAGTTGGAGACCGCAAAGTTATTGTGCTGTTTTCTTCATAAAGTCACATTTTGAAATATTCATCACATTGAAATTTAAGCAACTCTCAATCTCCAAGCCTCATGGAGACTCCCAACAAAAACTGCGTCCTTTGAATTTTATAATTCATTTCTAAGTCATAAATGATAATACAACCCATTTCTTCGATTCAGTCAAATGCTCTTATTCTTTATTATAATTCACTTCCAATGACCTTGTTAGAAAAATAATGTGATCAAATTATTCATTTTACTTAAAAATAAAAAAAATTCTGAAATTACCCATATTTAAAAGTACAAATTGCATCCAACCATAATAGTGTATTATATCAAACTTTTAATCGAAATAATTTAATATATATATATATATATATATAATTACTACCTCCCTCACTTATTTATAACGTGGGCTACCCATTCTTTCTAAAATATACTTTATAATAAAGTTAGTAATTCAAACAAGTTGGACTTATTTAAGTTGATGTCTATCTGAATAAGCTTGAACATATAAGAAAACTTATATAACCAGGTCCGACCCTAACTATAACATTTCAAATTTTAGCTCCCTAATTAATTAAACTAATCATAGGGTAATTGAGTAAAACTTAAGTGGATTGTGTTAGATGATGGTTATAAAGGACTAATGGACCTATTTGACCTTTTTGTTTCAACCTTGGGATTAGATTCAGAACTATGTTTGGCCAATTTGGGCCACCTGGCCCAAAAGTAGGAGAAAAACATGAAAGAGTGATTTTATGTCATGTGCCGCAACATGTGGTACATGAATCACAGCACATTAAGCAAAAAGAAGAGTAGGACTCTCTTTGTGCCATTCACCACTATGCATGGCGCATGCATTGCAACGCATGGCCTAAATTATGCCAAAAAAAAAGGCACCATGTAAACGCAAAAATAGAAAGAGAAAAGAGGAAGAACAAGGGACCTCATGCTTTACTCTACTAAGGCTTAAAGATCCGAAGGATTTGGAGTATTTTAGAGCTTGTAAACACTTAAGGTAAGCTTCCATTTTTTTTTTTTTGGATAGCAAGGTAAGCTTCTTTAGCTCTAATCTTCCTTCTTCTTCCTCGTTTGAAAATTTTGGAAGTTAGGGCTTGTTGTTGAGAGTGATTTCATGACAGAGTTATGAGTTCAAACCTATAAGCTTAAATAAAGTTAATGAAAATTATTTAGGTTATTTAAACCTAACATTTATAGTTATAAGCATTCTTGAGCTTAGACTCATAATAGTAGACGGCAATGTGAGTTAAAGAGCCATAAATGTGGTTATTGGAGAATGATAACAGCCATTAATGTTCCTAACTAGGTCTAATGAGTTTGGTTGGGGTTGTAGAGAGTTAATATGCCTAATGAGTATGAGTATTTATAAATGGTTGAAAAATAGGGGTTTGTCAAGCGTTGATTTTGAGTGTAGAAGTATGCCTATGGTGTTATTAACTATGATTGGCATGATTGGTTGTAGAGAAATCATCTTGCAAATCATTTTGAGCTTGTGTCAAGCTTTGAAAGTATTTGTTGAGAGGTAAACCTTTAACCACTCAAAGGTTTAAAGTAACTAAAGAAAATCTCTTCTTATGTAGCTGCTTGTTAGTGAATTTTGATTTTAATATGAAAATTGCATGTGAAGGAATTGTCAAATAATTAATTTTATGACTTGTTGTGTGTTCTAAAAGGATAAAAATTGTGAGTTTGTTTTTTTTTTTGATGATGGCATGATTATTCAAGTATATGCACTACTCTATGATGAAAAGAGAATAAGAGTTATTGATTCCATGAATTGCTAAAATGAATTGAAATATTATGTAGTAATTGATTGCTTGGTGATAATCAATCTTGTATATGTCTCTTGAAACTAAGCAAAGTGATAATGATGAAATTATTGGCATGTGATTGAAAATATGTGATATATTGATAAGTGGATATATGTGATAAGATTATGTTATGGTTTATGAGGAGATGTTATGTGTTTATGGCATGATATATACTAAAACACTAATTAGGCATGTTATTGTGAATTAAACATGCCATATGTGAAAGCATTGAGTATTGCATGATCATGATTGGTAGAAGTTTGTTTAGAAAGAGAAGTAGTAATATAAAATTCATGTGGTAAAACGACTGCCTATCATTGGAATCAAAGGCGAGTCTTTATCCCACTGTTTGTTGACAAGATTAATTTAGAGTTTATGACATCTTAGGAATTCAAGAATGGGGGAAGCCTTGGTCCGAAAGTAAAAGTAGTAACGTTTGGCCAGATTGCTCCTCAAAATTGGTGGCTCAAGTGGTCCATTCACATGAACAGAACTTTATATGATTTAATAGCCCACAATTTTAGTCGGAAGGTATAAAGAGGATATAAAGATGAAGTCGATCATGCATATTATTTGACGTGCCACATAATTGTTAAGTTTGTGATAAGTCATTATCATTGATTTTGTCATTGTCACATAGTTGGTAGTGTTGTGGCAATGTGCACTATGAGATGATTTGTGATAATAGTATGGGTTACATATACATGTTTTAAACATCATTTAATATACAATTGCATATGATAGATGTACTTTAGTTACTGAGTATTTGTACTCACCTTTCTCTCTTAATATTTTATTAGCTTTAGCTCAGGACAAAAAAGGAAAAAGGGACCAAAGGCCTAGGATCACATGTTCTTATAGTAGGTATCTCTTTTGATTACTTTTAATATGTGTAATTGAAATATTGATATTGTCAATTAGGATTATATGTTTTGATTCATGCATTTATTTACACCATTTGCTTGTTGAATTGATGATTCTACTTTGCGCCCTAGGTAATATGTGTGAAGGAAAATATCGATAGGGTCAAAATACTTATGCAAGTAAGATATTAGAGATATGGATGAATGCAAATGCACATGAATGAATATTATCATGGAGATTTACCTTCCCTTGCTATTTTGATGTCAATGGTTAAGGGTTGAAAATGAGCTATTTGAACTGTATTATTATTACGGTGTATTACATAAGTAATTCTAGGTTTATTAAATGTGGTCAAGGTGTTAGTTGTAACTTGTAACACATGTGTTGGATTTTAAAATCCCATTGTGATGATAAAGTGTGAAAATATATTTGAATGTCCAACTTCATTGTGTAAAATTATTTAAGAGTAAAACCTGCATCACTAACTAGTTTGTGATGAGAGCTTTTTATAAACACTTAGATTACTTTAATCAAATGTCAGATGGAAAAATGGTGTGTTTCAAAAGTTTGCCCTTATATTGTCAAAATGACAGCACATCATTGTCAAATTTATGCAGCATGCCGTGGTGCATAACACTTGCATTGTATCACAAGACACGCAGAGGAACAAGCTGCAAAGCCCGTTTCACAAGCCGCAACACCTCCTTTACTTTTTGTTCCTATAGGTTTTGCTTAAATTGATTTTTAGATTTTTAATATAAAATGATATCCCATACTTTCATAGTTGTTAAAAACACTACTTTAGACATATTAAAGTCCTATTTGAATTGTTTTAGAATGTTTAATCTTGGGATTCCAATTTTTGAAAGAAAATACTATTAGATTTTGAAATGATTTGAAATAGTTAACCATGATTGGATAGTATTCTTGGGTTAGTTTCATGATTATCAATAGAGTTATAGTTAAGTATTGGATTAGCAAGGATAACTTTACACCAACAACTTAGACTTATTGAAACTAATCAAAATGCCCAAATAGTTTGATTTTTTCCCCAATTTTTAAAGTCAATTTCAGTTTAACCTTAAAATTAACTATTGTTATTGAAAAATATTGAATACTCAAATTTTTTTTTTACAAAAACCTAAGTCTTAAAATTTAAAAAGTAATATTAAAATATATTTTAAAGATTATCTTTATGCATTTTACAGGTTAAAAATGATAGAAATATAATAATATGATTTTTTTAAAAAAAATATCTATAACAATACTCCAATCTACACATGGTCTCTTACAACCAAATGAAGCAAGTCTCAAAAAACTATCTTTTTTGTTCGCTTATTATTTTTTTTTTTTATGTGTGTTTCAGGCACGATATTTGGGCGTAATAGAAGCATAGATATGGCAAAACAAGACACAGAATGTGAGTGAAACTTTTGTATATTCACATTTACTTGGTCCTATATAGTTCAAGATGGACTAGGCAGACAACTAGGCATAGAGAAGGAGCCTTGTCTGGCTAGATTTACACTCAAGGCTTGTGCCTTGCTGGTATATAGCTTCTTCATATTTGATGTTTGATCTTGCATTAATCTTGCCAAGCTCCTCTTGGCATTTGCTCTGAACGGACAGTTTGATGCCAAGAACCCATCCACCAAGTGCAAATAAGCCTCCAGGTCATGACAACATGCCATGTCAGCATTCGGCTTCAGATACGGTGACATCTTCGTGTCTACGCGTAGCTCTACTCCCACATGTGTATAAGCCAACCCCATGTCTTCTACCATTTCTCCAACCTTGGAGTTCCTTAGCTTTTGTTCAACTTCTTCGCTCACAAACATTCCTGGAACTCTAGTGATTACATCTTGAGAGTTTACTACCCTTAGTACTTTTACTTTTTGGGCCACTAATCGATTCTTAAAGGCCTTATTTCCCACTCGAGGCCCGCCAAAGGAGATTACCGCCACTGGTGGCACGTCAGCATCACACGTGCTGATCTCATCAGCCACGAGTAATGCCAGCGCCGCGCCGAGGCTATGACCTGTCACGGTGATGCTGAGTGTCTCACCCTTGTACACTTCCATGAGCCTTTTCACTTCTTCAATCACAGACGTGGCCAGGCTCGGCACGTGAGCCCCTCTCGTCTTGTACAGGCTCAAGAACCCACACTCCACTTTGGGCTTTTCTTGGGCTGAAGCTGACGCATCGTCATCCCTCTTTGGTGGGATGTCGGTTAACTGGGCCCTCATATTCTCGGCCCATTCTAGACATGTCGCTGTCCCACGGAGAGAGATTACGATGTCTCTCCTTCCCATCCTCGCGATCTCCCCCCGATCATCGCAAACGGCGACGTACCCTATCCAACTCGACCGTTGGGTCATCCACCCGAGATCCGGAGCCACGTCGTCCACCCATTTGGGCAACCCGATTGATGACGTGGCATAGAGGCTCTTCGTGACTTTGTAGGACCTATCAGCCGGAAGGACCCGTCGGGGCATGGGCGGCTCCTCCGGTGACATGGCGGGATCGGAGTGAAACGAATGGTAAGCTGCTTGTACGAACTCGCCGTACCTGACCACCTCTCGCCGGAGATTCTCGTCCAGCGGATCGAGGAGTCCTTTCCAATCGTTGCTACCGTGATATTCCATCCAACGGCTGCCGAGAACGTTCCGAGGGGAATATTCCGCCGTCTTCGATAACAGACGCTGTAACTGGTTGAGATGCCTCGGAGACATCTCTTCTGTGGCCTTCATTTCTGGCCATAGCCTCGCTAAACTAAGGCCTTCGACTATGTTTTTCGACTTGGTCTTATCGTCGTTGGTTTCCTTCTGGATAGGCTGTGGCTGTTGTTGTTGGTGTTGTTGTTGTTGGAATTGGGTGATTGGAGGAGCCGGTTGCTTCTGAAGGAGCTTATCGAGGTTTGCGAGGTGCAAACGAGTGGTGGACTCGGTGGAAGCCGGCGGCGATGGTTTCGTGGAAGGATTTAAAGGCGAGGATTGGCACCGAAAACTAGAACGTCTGAGCTGAAACATGTGAGGGTTGTGCACTGGAATAGCTGAGCTGATCTGCAACATGGTGAAGATTTGTCTGTAATAAGACTTCTAATTCTGTGCTTGAAACTCCGAGAGAAGAGGGAGAAGAAGAGAGCAGGTAAAGACAGCGTCAATACTAGAACAAGCCAAACCGACTAAGGTGAGGAAATGATCAAGGCGCGTATTTAAACACCGATGTTCTGATATTGCCACTGAATTTAGAGATAATTACGACTTTGAGGAATGATAATATAATAGATTAAAATGAATATAGGGGTAAATGAGGAAATTCGGTATTGAAGACCTTTTCTCAAGGACAGAGAAATAGTAAATGTACGTTACCTCCCCATGGGGGAACGGTCTCATTCCAATAAAGTCTGCGAGGAAAGGGCGTCGTTGGAGCCTAACGGCGTTAATTGACTGTTTTATACCAAAGGAGGTAAAGATCTCAAACTCGCACCATCTGATTGGAATGATGCGGTTTGACTTTTTGGATCACGCGATGTCAATCCGTGGACGGTCCATAAGCCACAGCGACGGGTTGTCGTGCATGCTTGTATGCACTATCAAGCATTTTTAATTTTTGAATCTTGCGCACAAATATTGTATAAATCTATAAATAAAAAAATGACACTCAATCGTTAAATTTTTAATTTGATGTGAAAATATCTCTTTCTATTTTTATTGCCAATAAACTCGTATTAATGATTTTGTTGGGTCATTAACTAAAGCTGCATGTCATGTTTCATTTAGACATCTGCATGTAGTAAATTGACCATTTTGCCCATCAGTGTATATATATGCCACCTGACTCTACTCGCGTCTATTTAAGCCTCCAAGGTCAGATTATTGTGATAGTAACTTGCACAAATTATTACTGGTGACACGTAATTGACAGTTGACACTTGCCATTCTCCTCTAATGGAAAATTACCACAAAATCCCTCACAGAATTTTTTTGAAAAATTTTAATTAAGGATCAGGAATATAATTTAATTATTAATAAATATTAAAAATAATCTGAAACTTTAGTTCATTTTAGGAGGATTGAAGTAAATAATTTTAACAATAAAAGAATAAAAAAATACCTTTCATTTTGATAAATCAATAAATGAAGTAAAAATTTAATAACTAATAATTTTACATCTCTAACAAAATTAACAAGTAAATAGTATCTTAATATTTTTACTATTAAAATTATTTTTACTTCAATCCTTCTACATTGAGCTGAAATTTTAAATTTTTTTGGGACCTACTAATAATTAATCCTTAGTCCTTAATTAAAATTCTTTCAAAATTTTAATTATATTACTGCAAGATTCTATTAAATATATAAATTATTCTCAGGTTCCAAATTTCTTTATACTTAAAATATGTTTTATGTATAATTTATCAAAATTTCCTGATTCTATTTTTTAAAAAAGCAAAACTCAACACACCAATCACCGGTCGTTGCGTAAAACATATTTTGATAATTTATTAACAAAACATCAACATTACCCTGTTGAAACTCTCAGCAATTTCTTCGCGTAAGCATGAATCAAAATTTACAGAGATTTTTTTTATTATTATTCCGTTCAAGATAAAAAATTTAGAGGGTTACGCACACAAACACTTATATGCGCGTCAAGGTCATGTGATATACTGTATATAGAGCATTTTTTGTAATATTTGTTATTGAATATTAAAACATATATATGAGCGCGTGCGTGACGCAATAATGAAAATTTTTTGAGGTCAGATTCATGATATCAAACTAGTGGGCCATCTCCAAAAAGGCAATGTTTTTGGTGAAAGTAGTTAGACTTTTGAGACATATACATGTATATATAATATTTTATATGTGTTTGGATGGTTACTACTTTGCTAAAACAATGGGTACCTATAATATTTGATCCCTAAAATTTTATCACACTTTATTTTAATTTTTATAGTTCCTTTTAATATTTTTAATTTTTATAATTACTAAAAATATTAAAAAAATAAAAATTATAAGGACCTAAAAATAGTGATAATGTTAGGATCTGAGCTATGGGATGTAATATTTATAAAATTAATAATTTAAAAATGATTAAAAACATTTTGAATCCAAAATCTTTAAATTTAAGTTAAAAGATGCAAAATATTTAGATTATGAGGTACAAAATATTGAAAAGCATACTTTTCTTGTGATTTTCTCTAAGCTTAAGGGTTGCATTTGCCTCCTTTGACTTCAATGTAGCGCCGCCATATTGAAAAACAATGTTCATTCAATTTTTTAAAATTATAAGAATTAAAAATATTAAAAAAGTATAAAAAAATTAAAATAAAATTTGATGAAATTATAAAAATCAATGAATGTATGTTAAAAAAAAAAACTGTCTTTAGCTTATACGTGTGTATGCATGCTTTGAAATCTTAAGAAGTGGACAATTGGCCATTTCAGAGAGGAACAAAGCACGAAATGTTTGTCGTAAAAACTTTGAACATTGAAAACATAGTATAAAGTTGAGCAATTCAAGAGTCAAATAATCCTTATGGATTAGGAAAAAAGGCTTTGAAATTCCTTGGCATGCATACGAAGGAGATATTAATTTAATTAATTAATTAATTAATGTTTATGTAGCCTAGTTAGCTACCTTCTGTTGAATTCATGGCATAGTATTCACACACAAAGCACCACTTTCGCTATATTCTTACTTGCATGAACTATTACACGTACTCTGTTATAAAATAGTAAATAAGTTAGTAACTACTTAGAGTCATCTCATATCTATATGTTCCAAAGTTTTACCAAGTCAGTTCCATCAAATTATATCTTCTTTCATATGTTTAATTACGCACGCTTAATAAGATTCAAGGACGGCGTACCGACATTGCAGGTATTGGGGGCAAGTGCTCTCACGGAAAAAATTGATTTTTGTCAATTTTATATATATATGTGATGTTCTAATAACGTCTGTCCCTAAAATATGTGTGTGTATGTTGCCCTCACATTATAAAATTTTTGGGCCTGTAATTGATAAGATTATATTGGATAGCCTTGATACTTTAGTTAGAAAAATTATATATAGGTTTTGTGAAGCAGATTTATTCACAAATAAATTTTACAAAATTTAAAAATCACAATGAGATTCTTTGAAACCTAAATGTAATTTAAAATTAAGCTACAAAAATAATAATACCACTATTAAACTTGCATTTATAATTTTATCAACAATTTATAATTATAATTTTAAATTTTTACAATTGTACCTTTACATATCTAATAGTTAAACAATTATGCATTACTAACAAAGTTTAACATTAATTATTTATAACTACTTAATTAATAATTTACAACTTTAACTTCAATTTTTTATAACTGTAATTTCATATATTCAATAATTAAATTAATTAATTTAATTATTGAATATATAAAGTTATATTTATAAAAAGTTAAATTTATAATTGTAAATTATTAATAAAATAGTTTAAACAATTTGACTGATGTAATATATATATATATATATATATTTAATAGGAACATTATTATCTTTTTATTCAAATTTTAAATTACATTTAGGTCTTAAAAGACCTAATTGTGGTTTAGAAATTTTACGAGATTTATTTATAAATAAGTTAGCTCCATGAAACCTATATTTAATTTTTTAAAAATTAAAGTGTAAACATTCTATGCCATGTACACACATGCAATTCATGCATACGATCTCTATGATCCTAAATATTAGATCTTATTAATTAATTAATGGGTATCAAGAATATATTGGTTAAGTTAATTATTTGTTGTCATCATGTGAAAAATATTTATCACTTTACCACTCCCCCCCTCCTCCACACACACACACACAGATTTAAATATCGGAGACAAAGAGAATGAAAAAAGTTATGAAACTGATAAGAATAATTTCAAAAAAAAAAAAGATATTGTACAAGGGAGATAATAAAGAAGATTAGGGTCCTTTATTTAGAAAAAAATATTAAATCTGAATTAGTCGAAGCGTGTGTACGCAATATATAGTATATAAGAGAGTTTTTGCTGTAGAAGGAGAAAATAAAGAGGCTGCTTTTGTTGTATGTTGTGGGTATTTTTCAAACGGTGCTAATGGCTTTGACTCTGAAATGTCGCCGCGGATGATTTGACCAGCTTCGTCTGCTCTCTGCTTCTAATACCTTATTTCTCTCTCCCCCTACTTTTATTTTAGGATAAATTAACCAGATCAAAAAAAAAATCTCATATTTAAAAAATATGAATTAAATTTGTAAAAATTTAAAAGTATGACAAATTCTCATTCATATAAAATATTTATAATTAATATACAAAGGATTTTATTATTAAAAATTTGCAAAAAATTTATCATTGATATAAAATGATATATTATTAACAAATACTCTCCCATTCATAAAAATGAGGTATTTTTAATCGAATCTCACCCTTAATAAAAGTAGTCATCTGCTTTTTAACTAACTTTATTTTTTTATATTTATCTCTATTAAACACCTTATAATAAATATAAAGTCATTACCAATAAGGACACTTTTAAAAAAAGGTAATGATTACACCTTAAAAGACTAAAAATGCCTTATATGTTTTAACATCTAACTCATTAAAAAATGACTTATATTTTTAAACAGATGGAGTATAATAAATTAGTCATAATGTAAAGTATAATAAATATTAAGCTGTTTATTTGATTTTATTTTATAACATGAGTTATATCTCCAAAAAGTCTCATTGCACCTAATTTCTTTTTTTCATTTGATAGTTATTTGGTACTTTTCTATACAATCTGCGTGTGTGTGTGTGGAGAACATAACATATACATGACACAGGTGAGCTATAATTTTACTATGTGCGAAAACTTATGGTGATATAATTCACGCCTGCTTTGGGTGTACGTCCAACTGGTTTAATTTGTCTTGTTTGAGTTACATAAGCTAAGTCTTGATCAAAACTTAGAGCACATTTTATTGGGTTCCAGTGAAACTCAAAGTGAGGCAATTAACCGTTTATCCATGTCTTGTTATAATATACTATATGAACGTACTGATTTGAAAAAGATTTTATCATTATAAGATAAGAATATTTTCTAAAAATAATGGGATTTTAGAAACTATCCACAAGATTATAAAAACTAAAAATAATGCCAAAAAAAAAAGGCC